TTGTGAAGAATCTAGTGTGCGTGTGTGAGGGGTGCATTGTGTGTGCGTGAGGGGTACAGTGTGTGACGGGTACAGTGTGTGTGTGGGAGGTAGTATATGTGAGGAGTAGAGTATGTATGTGTGAGGGGTACAGTGTGTTTGTATGGGGGGCATTGTGTGTATATGGAGGGGCAATGTATGTATATGAGGGGCAGTATGTGTGTATGGTGGGCAGTGTGTGAAGGGTACAGTTTGTGTGTATGGAGGGACAATGTATGTGTATGAGGGGAGGGCAGATTAAGAAATATATACTTTTATTTGTTTTATTAAATAAATATATATTTTCATATTCAAAAACCATAAACATGTGTTGCGCTAAAAATATACTTAAAGGACCACTATAGGCACCCAGACCACTTCAGCTTAATGAGGTGGTCTGGGTGCCTGGTCCAGCTAGGTTTAACCCTTTTTTCTATAAACATAGCAGTTTCAGAGAAACTGCTATGTTTATAAATGGGTTAATCCAGCCTGTAGTGGCTATCTCATTGACAGCCGCTAAAGGGCTTCCGCGCTTCTCACTGTGATTTTCACAGTGAGAAGACGCCAGCGTCCATAGGAAAGCATTGTGAATGCTTTCCTATGGACTGGCTGAATGAGCGTGCAGCTCCTGCCGCGCATGCGCATTCAGCCGAAGAGGAGGAAAGGAGGCGGAGAGAAGGAGGAGAGCTCCCTGCCCAGCGCTGGAGAAAGAGGTAAGTTTAACCCCTTCCTCCCCCAGAGCCCGGCAGGAGGGAGACCCTGGGGGTGTGTAAGAATATTAAATAGTTAACTTGTTTATATGTATTTTATGCTTTTATAAGGTTTATAACATGATTATTGCTGACTGAAGGGATATTGAATACTTAAAGTCAATATGCTGACTGTGACAGACTAAGGTATTTCTTCTATAGGATGTAAGACAATGCTAAATTTCAGGATGTCTTGCCCATTCCGACTTTAAGGATATTCTTTTCCAGACGTATGCAAAAGCTTATCTTTCCATTGTCAGAATAACGTAATATAAGGAAGTAATAAATCTTATAGTCTGTACTGTATTTGCATATACCATGGCTAATGTAAGCAAACTATGTATAAAAGCCAGCTCTGGAATACACTCATTTGAGAGTCTTGTAAAGCTGTTGTCCGTGTGTTATTGCTTACAAATGATTCTCCATCAACGTTGATTATGGTGACCGAGGGATCGAGAACCGAGGGGATTAGAGTCCATTACAACATTAACCCTTTCAGCTTGGTGTCTAGAAGTGGGATAGAAGTTGGATCAGCAAAACCATTTGCGGTGAGTAGCCTTTTTGTGTCTTATTTGACGCTGATTGTCTATGACCCCCCTTTGGTTCAGTAAGTCTGTATCCAGTAGATAGGAAAGGTGTAAGGACTCTAGTTATATTGAGACTATAAGAGGTCTCCGGTTTATTAGACATTTGGTCTAAATATATATAGGGGTTCTTGGTAACCCAGGTTAGTATCTAAGATAGATACAGGTTTTTGAGACCATAAGAGGTCTCCGGTTTATTATAGGGTTTTGGTAACCCAGGTTAGTATCTAAGATAGATACAGGGTATCTCAGGTAGATACAGGTTTTGAGACCATAAGAGGTCTCTGGTTTATTAAGTCTATAGGTGTTCTGAGCAGCACGGTTTGTAGATCTTTAAGTATAACCCAAACTTCTCTTTCTCCCGGTCACCTTTGTTTGTCTTAAGTGTTTTTTGTGGGTGATTGATTGTCTATATTGGGGACACACTTTGGTAAGTTAGTAGTGTCCCCACTCTGAGTCAGCAGTATGGGAAATGTGAGTTCATGTCCTGAGTGACCAATATATGTACATGTATATGTGTGTGTATGTATATATGTGTGTGTATATGTATATGTGTATATATAAGATAGCAGTACTTTTAAACAAATGGAGGTTTTAAAAATACATAGGGATTAAGGAGAGAACGCAGGTAACTTGTTTTTCTTTGGTTTTTACCATATATTGGGGCTGATGTGTACTGTAGTCCTTGCTGCTGTCCAGTAGTGATGGGAGTGAGCGCAGGACTTATCTTTCTGCAAGATAGCAGTACTGTATATTAGAAAAGAAATGACTCACAGGTTGTACCTGATAGACCTACTTAAATCTTTTTGCTTTATTCTTTCTGTCGCATAGAAGTATAAGTTTATTACTCTGTTTTATTGTAAGTTATTTCACATGGGAACTGTGTGCCTGGAATGATTGTTGCTTTAAAAATACTATAAGCCCACTACACTTATTATGAGAGTGGGATAGTGTAAATGTGTTACATTGTTTGCATGATGAGCTCAGTATATTTTATAACTGAGACAAAAAGTCACTTCATTAGTATTTGAAAGTTAATTCCCCATATGGGATTAATTGTATAGAAACACCAATCAGCACATCTTCCCTGCCCTGTGTGTTTGTTGCAAAAGATCCATACTGTAAATATAATTTTATGTTTGAAAATAACAGAGCAACATTTACATTTTCAGCGGTCCAACACATGCTTTATTTTGCACTGTAAACTAACCTTTTTATTGCAACAGGTTCCTTTTAAATGATCCAGTGTAATAACTACTGCTTGTGTCTTCTATGTCTCACATTATGTGTTATTTTAAATTGTGGTATATAGCCTGAATCAGACATCATGGACAAAAGGTTTTTACCTGTGTTACTAAGGGCTCTTGGAGACTGACCGGTCTAAAGGTTTGCCATGCCTTTAAAACATGGTATAGTATAAATTTTTTAAGTCTCTGAGAGTTCTGAAAGATTCAGGTGAAACCATGTCTGTTTAATCTGGTCCAGATGTTTGTTCAATTTCTGTAAGATTTAAGTTGATGCAGCATCATCTCAGATTAGTTAATGGTAGTTTTATACAAATAGTTGAGTTATGAGCGCGCTATATAAATGGATCCTTTCTTTAAATACAATACTATACTAGATTAAAGTAATGAAGTTAATTAAGAAAATGTATACATAAGAATCCCTAAAATAAATCTAAACTAAAATTGGTATACTTTCCAATAATATGTTCTGAATACAGCTGTTAACTCTTTATTTTGTGTAAATGGTGATTGTGATAATGTGTGATAAGTGTGCAGTTTAACTTGAAAGTGGTTTAATTATATGTTGCTGTATTGTTTTAAATTATATGTGAATCAGTTTGTCACAGTCTAGTGATACTGATAAGAATGACAGCCAAATAACCTAGCAAATAACTGTTTTATTAGTTGTTGAATACTAGCGTTTTGGCCAAGAATAGTTGGAGATTTGGAGGTGTTAGTTTAAGATTGCTTTTATATTGTGTCTATCCGTGTTTCCTAGGAGGGAGACAGAGTGTGTAGTTGTGTGCCCATAAATGTGATTTCTGTATTGGCATATCTGCTGGGTACCCATTATGTGTTTCTACAAAGATATTGCTTTGTGAGATGACGTGTAATATTACATTGGATGCTGAGTATGAGTTATATGGTTTGAAATGAATTGGTGATTATGAGCTTAGTACTTCAGTAAGATGTGCTAAAATTTGGAACAAGGTGGAAGCTGAAATGTTGGGATTATGGAAGAATAGGTAGTCTATATTCACTGCTTTGGCATATAAGCAAGATGCAAAGGAAGAGATTGGTAATATGATTTTTGTAAAGAAATTTTACAAGTGTTGGAAGGATGAGGCAGGTTTGATGTCTGGAGATGATATAGATATCTTTAAAATACAGTCATGCCTTGGTAATATGTTGCCACAGTATTCTTTGCTTGTGAAACAATTGATTTCAGACTGGGCCAATTTGGATAGCTCAGATTTTCTTACCAAGGTTATAGAAAAGGAAAATGCAGGTTGTTTTGAATTAAGAAAAGATTTAGGAAAGTAAGGTTGCTTATTATGCTCAGGGATTGCAACATATTATGTCCAGCTACACAGGCTGAGAGCGAGGATGGGATGGAGCACATAAAGCCCGTGGAAGGGGTGGTCAAAGAGGGGCAAGGGGATGGAGACAGGGAAATCAGGGTTATAGGGGTAACCAAGGAGGAATAGACAGGAACACTTGTTTCAACTGTGGCCAATATGGCCACTGGAGGAATGAGTGTCCACACCCCAGGAAACCCCAGGAAACCCCAGGAAACCCCACACACCCCAACAACCCCACCTTTCTCAAAATATGCCCTGTAGGCAAGAACAACACCAGACCCACTCCCAACACCACTGGCCAGCATATCGCTTAGTTCAGGACTTTAGAGCCCTGAATAGTTTAATTGTGCCCATTTCACCCATTGTCCCTGATGTGACATCCCTCATTACAGCCATTCCACATGATGCCACTTGCTTCACTGTCATTGATTTAAGTAATGCATTTTTTCTATACCTATTGATCAAGAGACACAGCTACTTATGGTTTTTATTTTTTGAAGGCTGTCAGTTTACCTGGACACGCTTACCCAAGGCTATGTGGATTCCCCAGCTGTTTATTCGTTGGTACTCCAACATACTCTAAAAAACATGGACCACCGGTCATGGTTCCGTCCTTTTTGCAAAATGTTGATGATTTGTTGTTATGTAGCCCTAGCTATGAGGCAAGCACTGTGGATACTGTCAGCAACTGTAGGTCACAAGGTTGTTAAACACAAAATGCAATTGTGTAAATCAAAGGTTGAATACTTAGGTTTTGTTCTGGCTTTAGGCACCAGACAATTGAGTCCAAAACGTATTAAGGTCATTCAGAGGATTCCTACACCCACTACTCGGAAGGAGTTGCTCACCTTCCTCGGCATGATTAATTACTGCCACCAATGGATCCCTGAATGCTCCCATTATGACTCAATCCTAAGGGAGGCTGTACGTTCTGACAGCCCTGAAAATGTCTGCTGGTCACCAGACATGCTAGCTGCATATATTGCCCTTACAGTTGTTATTGTGCAAGCCCAGGCTTTAGGACTACCTGTGTATTGTAAACCATTTCATTTGTATGCTTGGGACAATTGTAAAACCATGGCCGCAGTCTGTGCACAAGAGCAAGGAGGCGGTATGCGTCCCATAGCATTCTTTTCCAAAGTAGTTCGAGCTCCGGTACAGGGTATGCCGGCGTGTCTCAGAGCATTGATAGCATGTGCAATGGCTGTTGAAACTGCTACTACTATCACACTAGGGCATCCTACAATACTTCATGCCAGTCACCAGGTCACTCAGCTGATAACAAATCTCACCACACAACACATGACAGCCCAGCGCTTCAGTGGTTATGAGATTCTTTTTTTTAATACCCAGAATCTGTCTTTTGGATTAAACAAGGTTTAGAGAAAGATCAAAATGATCTGTTCTCTAAAGAGGGGAGAATAGGCATACTTGAAGAATAGGCATACTTGAAGCAAGCTGATTTATTTTCATCAGTCAGGCACATAGCAAGCACCATTCAATTCTTCATGAATTCATTTTATATTAGGAATCTCAGGCAGCATGTACAGTCTTTTGTAAGATCGTGTGAACGCTGCTCTTTTTACACACTTACAGATTGATTTTATTCATGTATCCAAAATTGGTAAGAAACAGCAATACTTACTGGTCATAGTTAATCAGTTTAGTGGATGGCATGATGCCTTTGTGACATCTAGGGAGGATGCTAGTGAAGATTATTGTTACTGAAATTATTCCCCGGTATTGCTGCCCTCTGCAGATTGGCTCTGATAATGGCCCGGTTTTTGCAAGTGGGGTTGCCCAGGAACTTGCTAAATTCTTGCAAGTTACCTGGCAGTTTCATATACCCTATCATCCACAGAATACAGGGGTAGTTGAAAGGATGAATAGGACTATTAAGGAAAAGCCCAGAATTTACCCAGGAACATGGGTAAATTGGACAAGATATCTACCAGCTATTTTAGCTGAGATAAGAATGAATCCCCACAAGGTGAATTGTTGATAAAACCGAATGGTATGTATGACAATGTTTCTTCGCAGTTTTCCCTTACCTTCACAGGAACCTACTCATTCATACCAGCCCGGTGACAAGGTGTATATCCGTCAGCTGAACAGGACCAAGAAAGGAGGATACCCTTTTGGACCACCTGCTACTGTGATTGCTGTAACCAGAACCGCTGTCCTCACAGATTCACATGACATCTGGATTCACGCATCCCGAGTGAAGCTGTGTCCAAAGAGGGGAACCAAGGAAGACAACACCACTCCTCGCTCGGAAACAGAAGAATTTCTCCTCAGCGAAGCATCATGGTTTTTACACCATATCGTAGATTGAGAGGATCATACGTACCTGAGACCAAGATTATGTTGTGTGCTATGCTTTCTGGAGTTGTTATACTCCCTCTGATATTGTTCCTTGAATGCCATTATGAGTACAAGTCAATGGCAAGTTCTGGAAAAAGACTCTGACATGATGAACAATTCTTCAATACCCCCAGCCCAATTAGGCCTTAGCCCCTCATCTAGCATTCGTCACACACGCCCCCTCAAGAACCTTTCTCCACCACCTTTCTATCAGCATGCAATATGCAATCATTCATTCACTGAACGCATTTGGATGAATTGGACAAATAGTAACCCTTATAAGTACCAGTTACCCATATGAAATGTGTCTACAGCTAATGAAACCGATGCATTATGTTTGTTTGAAGGTTCACAGAAAATTGTTAGATCTTATAACGCAGAAATGTGCACAGTTAAGGTTGCATATCAATGTAAACAGACAGGCCTTATTACTTTTAATAATGATTATATAACTGGTATCTATCATTTTGTTATTATAGTCCTGATTTTATTGTGTATGGTTTTATATAACTGTCACCTTACTTGTACATTGAGGAAGAGAGTACATAAATTAATCCATAATGCAGAACAGAAACAATTAGAAATTCTCCTCTCTGCCACTGGAGGGTATCAACCCATCTTTAAACTGGGCCTTAGGAATTACCACATGGGAATCGAGGTGAAGAAATTAATGAAAGTCCCGCAGGGAGTGACTAGCACCCCTGAAAATACCATGTGGAAGTTTCTCTGTCCTGGTAAGATTTTATCGATAAGATGAGCAATTGTTTTATTGCTCAAAGAGGGGAATGTAAGAATATTAAATAGTTAACTTGTTTATATGTATTTTATGCTTTTATAAGGTTTATAACATGATTATTGCTGACTGAAGGGATATTGAATACTTAAAGTCAATATGCTGACTGTGACAGACTAAGGTATTTCTTCTATAGGATGTAAGACAATGCTAAATTTCAGGATGTCTTGCCCATTCCGACTTTAAGGATATTCTTTTCCAGACGTATGCAAAAGCTTATCTTTCCATTGTCAGAATAACGTAATATAAGGAAGTAATAAATCTTATAGTCTGTACTGTATTTGCATATACCATGGCTAATGTAAGCAAACTATGTATAAAAGCCAGCTCTGGAATACACTCATTTGAGAGTCTTGTAAAGCTGTTGTCCGTGTGTTATTGCTTACAAATGATTCTCCATCAACGTTGATTATGGTGACCGAGGGATCGAGAACCGAGGGGATTAGAGTCCATTACAACATTAACCCTTTCAGGGTGGTTTCCCCCTTTAGGGCATTATATTGCCAGGAAAACGAGTATGTTTTCCTGGCACTATAGTGGTCCTTTAACATACATTGATCAAAGAAAATATTTACCAGAGCCCTATCAACCATGGCTCTGGGTGAGAAAGGCTCGACTTGAGAGGGAATAACTCTCACAATGCTCAGGCTTGAAGGCTTTGAAGACTTTAATTCACAAAAGATGGCACTTTTAGAATGGAATAGCTGCAGGGATGACAGAACCAGGAAACCCCAATGGCATAGTTTTATTGTGTGTTTGTGTAGTGGATGTAGTGTGTGTACAGTGATGTAGTGTGTGTTTGTGTAGTGGATGTAGTGTTTGTGTGTACTAGATGCAATGGGTTTAGTGGATGCAGTGTCTGTAGTGGATGTAGTGTGTGTATTAGTGTGTATTACAGTGTCTCAGTATAGTGAATGCAGAGTGTTTGAATGTGGATGTAGTGTGTGCACTGTGAATACAGGATGTTTGTGAAGTGGATGCTGTGTGTATAGTTAATGCAGAGTGTATGTTATTGTAGTGAATGCAGAGTGTGTGTCAGTGTAGTTAATGCAGAGTGTGTGTTAGTGTAGTCAATGCAGAGTGTTTGTCAGTGTAGTGAATGCAGAGTGTGTGTTAGTGTAATGAATGCAGAGTGTGTGTCAGTGTAATGAATGCAGAATGTGTGTTAGTGTAATGAATGCAGAGTGTGTGTCAGTGTAGTGAATGCAGAGTGTGTTACTGTAATTAACGCACAGTGTGTGTTAGTGTAATGAATGCAGAGTGTGTGTTACTGTAATGAATGCAGTTTGTGTGTCAGTGTAATGAATGCAGAGTGTGTGTTAGTGTAGTGAATGCAGTGTGTGTGTTAGTGTAGTGAATGCAGAGTGTCTCTTCATGTGCCTCATCCTCTCCAGTCCCTCCATGTGTCTCATTACCCCCCTCCATGTGTCTCATCCTCACCAGTCCCTCCATGTGTCTCATTACCCCCCTCCATATGTTTCACCCCGATCCCCTATGTGTCTCACCCCCTACCCCCTCCATATGTCTCACCCCCCTACCCTCCATGTGTCCCATTCTTCCCTAGTCCCTACATGTGTCTCATTCCCCCCGCCATGTGTCTCATTCTCCCCCCAGCTCCTCCACATGTCTCCCCCGATTCTCCATATGTCTTATTCTTCCCCACCCCCTTTATGTGTCTCACCCAATAGCCCCTCTGTGTGTCTCATTCTTTCCCCCAGCTCCTCCATGTGTCTCATCCCCCCCAGCACCTCCACGTGTCTTCCTCAATCCCTCCATGTGTTTCAATAACCCCCAGTCCCTTCCATGTGTTAATTGCCCCCCCAGTCCCTGAATGTGCCTCAAGTATGCTGTAGTCATTATGGTTCTATGAGAATCCTGGCACCCCCCATTGTAAGTAGTCATGTTATATAGTTTGACATCTTACCAGGGGTTTGCTCTGTCCTACACTACCACAGCAAGAGAGCTGTGCACCGCATGACTTAGCTCATTGGCTCAGAGTGATTAGCTGATGCTCTCAGCCAATGAGCTAGGAGAGCTAACATAAGCTTCTAAGCAAGAGTTTCCAGCTCTCTAAGGCTAAGGCGGTGGAGTCCGGGAGTGGCATCTGGAGACCCCCAGCTAATATGTCAAACCTTTTTGCCTTGGGCGGCAACCAATTTTCCTTGGGCGGCATTTTTCAGGGGGCGGCAAAAAACGCTGTCCCCCAAATGCCCAGAGCAAATGCCTAGTTAGTCTTGCGGCTAACAGACATGCCGAGCGGACGGGCGGCGCTGGCTGCTGTGCGGGCGGCGCTGGCTGCTGTGCGGGCGGCTGGCGAGGGAGCTCTTCCTCATGACATCATATTCCGGCTCCCAGCCTCACTCTGCGGCGCGCGAGGGAGCTGAGCAGACCGCTCAGAGGAAGTGCTCCCTCGCCAGCCGCCCGCCCAGCAGCCAGCTAGGGCAGCACAAAACCAGGATACACCACTGGCTGGGCTATGCAACCATACCCCACAATTGTGTATAAAGGATTGACATAATTGCAAATTAAATGTATTTATTGCAAACTAAATGTATTTATGCAGAGACTGACTCTCTGTATCCAGCGCTGCAAGCCCGCCTTTTAATATAGCGAATGCTCCTTACACACATTATTATTTTATACTTTGGGTGTTAGTGGGGCCTAATGCTTGAATTTTGCCTAAGGCCTCATAAAGTCTAGAGCCGCCTCTGGCTTTATGTATGAAGAATGTGCTTTATTTCTTCATTTTACAAAAATTGCAGATTTCAGTAAAAATTGGCACTTTTGTAAATTAACATTGTTACACCCCCTGGCTGTTACTTCCTGGTTTAGTTATCTCAGTGGAGCTGACCTCAAAAGGCAGCAATTGTCCAGAGCACCTGCCTTGCAAAGACGTCTCATTGAGCTGCTTTGGGAAATCTGTGATTGGACACAATATACACATTTCACAGAGGAATATTTAGGTCATGTGGTCCCGGGAGCAGGTACATAATTTGTGCTCCCCCTTAAAGCAACCAGGAAAAACTTTAGGTTGATCTGGTACTCAAAGCCCACCAACACATCAGATTCTGATCCTTTCACTTGCTAACTTACATACACACACACATTCAAAACGTTCAGCTCCAGGTCCATTGGGCCCTTAATCCAGCAAGTTGGACGTCACTTGCTGATACAGCTGGCCATCACTGGAGACTGGTGTCAAAGAGGGCTCATATCTGTGTACCAGGCAGAGCATTAACTGCTTGCTACCTGACACACAGAGATTTCAATGTGCTGTCCAAGGTTCTATACAAGAACACAATTTGTCTTCTAAACCAAATTATTTCAGCTTTTGAGCTGAAATAGTACTTCCCTTTTGTGCAGCCCAAGTTGACCCTGTACAAGTTGAAAATCACACCAAGTCCCATTCTTAAAGGGTTGTTGCTTTCCTTCTCCCCACCCGCAGCCTCATTCCATTCCTTTGCCATTGACTCCAGTCATGAATAGGTTAACTTTTTTTTCTCACTGTATGAACAAGCCATGTCTTGCTATGGAGAAAGGAATAAAATGCGGTCCTTCAATACCAGCTGCTGAACCTTGATGACATCAGCTTCTGTGATGTCACGGCCAGTCCTGCCTAGACTATGGCAGAGCCAGAAATCAGTATTGCAGGGGTCAACAGCAGGAAGGTACATATATATAACTTTCTTTGTGGAAAACTCACCCAAACTGCAAACGAGGAGATAACCAGAGTAGACAAGGTAGGAATAAAAAAGTTAAATGTCTTTTGGTGTCATGGAGCTGCTTTACTCATGTCCAATCACTGTTTTGGCTTAAGATGCGAAATACTGCATTTTGGCCACTGGGGGCAGCACCATGGTGGCAGGAGGGCTGGAGGCAAAAGGGGACAGTTCATATTTTCCTATGAACTGTCACATCATTTGACCAAGTTTTACTTGGTCAGTGCAATGGTCAGTACGACGTCTCTAGTGGTAGTGACTCAGACAGCCTCTAGAGGGACTTCTTGGCTTAGGCCCTGCAATAATGGTAAGGATGTACTGAGCAATATGTGACTGAGTTTCTTTTTTGGATTCATTTTATAGAATAGAAAGATGGTGTGTGTTATAATATGCTGTCAGATCTGTGCACAGTCCAGTTGTGATGGAATTACCCAGGGACTGGGACATAGGCAAAATGCATGATTGTCAGCGGCATGAAGTGGGGCAACAGTTCACTAAACTTGTAGTGAATTGAAACACAAATGGCAAACGTTAGTCTAAAATAGATTATTTGGACTAATTCTCCAACACTGTTATAGACACAGCTTGTCTATTTTAAGCTAAAATTGTCTTTAGGGTTTCATTTCACTACAGTTTGGAATTTAGTGAATAAACATTTATGGAGAAAGTCGGCGTCGATGGAGTTAAGAGAGCAAGCCCTTGAATAAAGGTCCTTGTGACACAGAGCAGAAGAAGGGCATGTGGGCATAGTGTAGTGATGGACAAAGAATTAGTACAGGCCATGGACAAGGTTGTGAGCCAAGCAGAGACTGATGTGTGATTGAGCTGAGGGGAGATATAAAGTTCATAGAGGAACATACAATAGAGACAAATGAGCAAAGTTCTGGATGGGGTTCTGGATGAGAAGGGTACA